AGCCGGTTGATATTTAATTTTGCACAATAACATATCATATATTGTTATTCGTTCAGTTACTTATTGGACAACAAATAGAGAATTCACTTCCCAAGTATGTCTGATAGTAGCCATTCTCCAGCAAGCATTGACTGATGATAATGGCCAATCAAATAGAACACACCCGCTCATTGGAAACTCATAGTCTTTTTTGGAATTAAGTCATTCAAGGCAAGCTTTGCTTCCCAAACGCAAGAAATGCAACTAATTTCCAAGTGTGATAATTTGAGCCGTACACTTTCCAATCTTAATAAGGTCTTTAGATTATTGTTATTTATTTATATCAAATGGCAGGCGTTTTGATGGTTATCATTAGCCCTTTAGCTGACTTCAGGCTTCACAGAGGGGAAGGAACATCAAAGTGAAAAAAAAGGTCGAGAGGGGGGGGGGCAGAAGAGTGTTTTAAAGATGTAAAAGAGGAGGACACAAAGGTAGAAAAAAGGTGAGGTGAGTACTGTGAAAGTAGTCAAATATGACATACAGTGGGGTCATGATAGCTTGAACTCAGAAGTCAACTGCTGGTTTATCGACTTTTTTGCCGCATGAGTTTACGTTGCTCAGTGTGCACCACGTGGAGGTGAGTCTATCGCACACCCTCAGATTATTGTCATAAAGCTATTGTTATATATTAATGACTAGCGAACACGACTCATCTTTATCTATTAGGTCAGATAACAAGGATTTGGCCAAGTCTTCCTATTCAAATTGTTTCAGCCATTAAAATTGCTGCCCCTCCCAGAAATCAATCGAAGTACGCCAGTATCGAAACTATCACCTGATTGTGGTATTGATTTGCCACAAATCCCTTCCATGAGAAGTTGAAGCAGAGCAATAATAGCACTTGGATTGAGCAAAAGGAAGGCATTCAGAAGTCACATCTATGGCAAATTAGCCCCTAAAATCTTACCTTTTGGTCTTAATTGAATGGTAAGGTTTCAAATCAACACTATAGGATGCGCTCTCATTACTGGTAATCTCTTGACCTGACTTCACAGATCCACGTATTAGGTCTGTTGTCATTGGTGCCTCCACTCGGGGAAGGCTGAAATCTACCTATAAGTAAATGTGAATATTACTATTACGCAGTAATAAATACAAGTCCCATCTGAACTCAGTGCTACGCGACGCATAGCGATAGAGATTTGAGCAAAAAGGTGCAAAGGGTTAAACCTATCGAGGACATGGCAACGGTATAGATGCCGAAAATCGGTACATCAACTCTCCATTTGTTAGCATGAACTAAAACTATCAAAAGCACAAACTCTACTTCCAAACTTAATACTCAGAACTCTTCTATTCCACTCACACACGCGCGCACACATAATAATTCTCTTTTCCATTAAAGGGCAATATAAAGTAACTAAAACCAACCCACCAACCTAACTCATTCCTTGATCACTGTATTCTTCTCATTTTAGTACTTAATAAGCTCATTTTTGGAGAGTGAGGTCCCCTCGCTGCCCTTTACTGATTACCTAGATAGCTTATTTACCTCATAATTCTTGGTCACGTGTTCCACGTTGAGCATTCCTGATGGCAAAAGCGAAACCTTAATCGAACTACAACTTTTGAGTTTGCGTCCTCTGGCCTTGAGTGACTGTGAACGGAGACTGTGAAGATTCCAACACACAGACTCGCCAGGCACCCCAAGTATCCACTACAGCAGTCATCCAACTCTCTATCGCCTCGTCCTCCTCCTTTGCGGCTGGATTCGTTGGCAGCACAACCTCGTCGACGACTTTTCCTTCCACTTCCCTCTCCACCACGTCCAAATCTTCTACATCTACCTCCACCCATCACCAAAACCATCGTTTGCTGCTGATGAATCATGACTGGCAGTAAGAAAGGCGACTGTAGTTTATGTGGAAGCAAACCTTACGCATTAGTTGAATCTCTCAATTTGAAGGAGACTTCAAACTAAGTAAACTCTATTACTTTGAAAATCAGTTTATGGCTATATCATCAAGCTCAGGTTGGTTTAAAAATACGACATGTCTCGAAATGCCATGATCAGCTGCACGGGCTTTGAATATCACACTCATGAATGTTCCCAAGAACCTGTTGGATAAAATCTGGAAAGCAATAGGAATTAAGACTTTTAATGCCCTAATTTCTTCCCTTATTGTACTTTTCCCAAGTTTTGGGTGCTTTCCAATAATGACAACTTTCTTGTTTTGCTAGTGATAAAAACGATGAACATAATGCTGTGTCTGATGCGCTTGTAGCACAATTGTCTTTGTGCACATTACGAGATCACGACAACAATGCGATCGGTACACGTTCAGTATGCACTTGTTACCTAGAGCACTATTTAATTCTGATCAAAATCGAAGGTGGTAGAATAAAGATTTTCCAAGGAGAGGGTCCAATATACTTTCCCTCTATTCATGTCATGGACCGTGGAAATTTCCCTTCATAGGCTTAGAAGCACATCAATCAAGTAATCACTTTTTGAATATATTGCAGATAATATTATGGATATTATTTTTCCATCATTCAAATGCGTTGAAAATACTCAATGTGTGTTGCAGGATGAACGGCCATCGGCATTTTATTTTGTAACATTTACTAACATTCAAGTTCCCAAATTCAGTATAATAGAAATGAACCGTAATTCAATATCAAATCATTAAATACTAACAATAATAAGGTTTGATGAGCCTAATTATTCTTATTTACATTTGGCTCTTGTGAATCAAATTGGGCCATTGCATTGATGCTTATTCCAGGAACGACCATGACCACGCGCTTGGTGTTCGACTTCGACACAACTTTCGATTTCCGAGTGCTTTCTGTTGTTCGTGTCTTCATAGAGTTGCTCATAAGTAAATACGGTTGGGAATCGATATCACCATTAAGAGAAGATGAAGTGGGAATTGAAGAGAAAGTTAAATTCATTTGGTGAGGCTTCACTTCTAAAGACGCGCGGGAGTGTGTTTCAAGGAAGGATTGATTTTGACCACTTATTGAACTAGGCCAAGAAGGTTTGATTTGTGAGTGAGAACTGTTTCCATAATTTTCGGAATCGTCATTTTCTTCGAACAACACTTTAGCTAGTCTTATTTCCTCTAAGTCACAATGTATGCCATCCAGACATTGTAGATTCTGTAAATATTTCAACACAATCAATCGATAATGTGGCACTTTTGAAAGAGGATTTTCGTGTAGACTGAGGTGTGATAGTTTACTTAACGACTTCATATTATTCAGAACATGTTCCAGCCTCTCTAACCGATTTGCGCTTAGATAAATATGCTTCAGCTGTTCCAAATTCTCCATAGGTGGAATATCGAGAAGTCGGTTATTATCCAGATGAATTTCAATCAAACTAGTCAGACCACTGATCTCTTTTGGATGAATTTTGTGAATCCTATTGCGATCAAGGACTAGATACTGTAAATTTACCATACCTGTTAAGCCACTTATTGTAGTCAAGGCATTGTCTTGTAGAAATAGCGTTTCTATAGAAGGCATTCTCTTCAAATGGAGACCATTTAGGGATTTCAGTTCATTTCTTTCAAGTGATAAGACGCTCAATTTTGGTAAATATGTCGCTTTTGGATCAGGAGGGTGAAAAGATGAAATTCTGTTCCCCGATAACCAGAGGATCTCCAAATTCCTCAATTCCGTTAAACCTTCAATTGAAGTAAGTTTATTGTTTTCCAAATTTACGATTCGCAGATTCGAGAATACCTCAGCAGGAATCAGTTCAACCGAACGAATATTCTTATTTACATAATTGAAATGACTTAATTCCTCTGGAGTTTCGATGTTGAGAGAAGCCAATAAGAATTCAGTTGTCAGTCGACCATCAAAATGAGCCTTGGCTTCTTTAAATTCAGCAGAGTTCACTTGTTTGCCATCAAGATAGTGAAGATGAGGAAGGTGATAGAGAGTTTTAAGTCGGTACTGAGATAATTTTAACTTAATAGGGTTGAATCTCAAATCCAGCACTTTAAGATCCGGTATGTTTTTTAACGCTAGCACAGATTGATAACTTGTGATGTTATTTCCAGAAATATAAATCTGTTCCAAAGAATAACAATGCTTCAATTGAACAATGGAAGTTATTTCATTACTGTCTAATGCTAAAACTTTCAGGTTCTTCAATCCTTTAAATCCAAGATTGGCGATTGATTTTATAAAGTTGTCACCAGCAAGAAGAACCTGTAAATTTCTTAAATCCCCTATTCCTTGTAGAGATGGAAGACTGCTGCTTTCAACTGAAAGCTCTTCTAGCTCTTCTAGTCCACTTAGGAATCGGAGGTCAGTCAATCGTACGCCGTCTAGATAGAGAGCCTTCAAGGATTTAAATGCACCTGAAGTAACAGGATGCAGATGGTTCCAAATTTGGATTGTTTTCATAAAAATATCCAAATTCCGTATATTGTGAGAACAATCCCCATCAAGTATTTTAGTCACTGGCCAAAGAGTTAGCATATACCTTGCAGACTTTGAGAATGAATGGCGGTGTAAAAAAATTTCTTTACTTTCGATATGAATCTCATCCTGTGACCTCCCATCACAAGCTAAATTCAAAAATAGCTTAAGAGCATATTCGTTTGAAGTTCGACAGCAAATCCACGGATTGAACTCAATTTGAATATTGACTAATCTTTTAGTGACGTATAGTAGATTTCCAACTTCCTCTTCCAAATTCGTGAGAAGATTCCAGTCTGCATTCAATGAGTAGAGAGATGGACAGTGGCCCAGACCTCTGAAAGTAGAAATCGAATTATGGCTAACATCTAAGATCTCAAGAAAGTTTAAACTGAGGCCTTGCAGATCTTGTAAATTGCAATTTGAGAGACTAAGTCTTGTTAGAGAAGTCAGTTCTTTCAAACTTTGAAAATAACGGAATTCAGTTCCAAAGAAATTTAAATTGGTCACTGAACTCAATTTCTTAGGATCTACAGACGTGAACCACGTGTGATGCAAGGCTTCCACTACACTGCTTTCAGAAAGATTAGGAGGATTGGGCAAATTGGGAATAGACTTTAGGTCTTCCATTTCCTCTGCCAAGTCAGCAATATCATTGTAATTCACTGTTGCCTGAGTAATAGCAGACCTTGAAATGAATTGTATCTCAGCAATAAATTCAGGAAAAACGTTATCGCAGTCATTGAAATCATATTCAAAGTGCGCTAGAGAGCAACCACAAAGTTGTCGTTTTCCATTAGAGGAGGTAGAGTTTGTAGAAGGGAGCATAATTCCAGTCTTAACGTAATCATCTTTCTCCCTTTTAATGGCACGAACAACTAGGATAATAAAAGAAATATTGCACAACCTTCCCGTGGTTAACTTATCAGGCGGTAGAAGCTTATTTAAAAGAGACACAAATCTGAAATGTCCAGCAGCACCTTCATTCGAAAAACCACACCTCAAAATTTCCCCAAGAAGACAAAAGTCTTTGTCGGTTGAAAAAAACCCATCATACAGTAAAATATCATCAAATCCTGACTGAATTGAACGCCGACGTTCATTTAAAAGAGCATTTTGAATGTGCCAGATATTTTTCAGGTCCATTTTGGTGAAGAACTCGAAGGATTTGTCATGCCAGCATACTCTCATCCGGAGAAAATTTTCACAAAAGCTGAACAGATCTGACGATTTATAAATTGAATCAATAGATAGACATCCGAACATCTGAAGTTCTGCAGTGCAGAGACAGCGATTTAGGCTACAACTGGCAGACCGACCAATTTCATATTCAATGTCTTCTAATCTGTTCTTCCAAAAAGTTATCTTATCTCGAACACCAACTAATGACTTCCTCAACTTCATTATTTCAATTTTGGGAGCTTGTTCAATGTAGGACTCGATCAATTTGGCTTGGAGCTCTAATAAACGAATTTTTTCTAAGATATATTTTGAAAGACAATTTCTGAATTTCTTAAGATCTCGTTTACATTTCAGTAGTTGATTATGTCGATGTCGGAATATGGAGTAGAAAAAGAGCTTCTTATCACGGATTATTGAGTCTATGAGGAAACGGAAGGGTTTATCCAAGCGAATGCCATCAATGGCATCCAACTGGGGTATTTGATATGATAGAGCCAATAGAATATGTGGCTGCAGTGAAATAATTGATGGCGGATACTCGGAATCATTTAGACTCAGGGATTTTAGTTTCGGCAAATTAGAAAGAAGAAAGATGTCTTGAAGGTCATAGAGTAAGTTATGGGAGATATTTAGTGTCTCCAAATTAGATAGGGGCGCTAGTAAGTTGTTTAATCGGGAAATTTGGTTTCCAGCAAGATTTAGATCAACGACATTTGTTAGATTTTCAATTTCAGTCAGAGTAACAATTTCATTGTCATTAACCCAAAGTCGACGAAGAGTAGTCGTTGAACTAAGGTCTTCAATATGCTTAATCATGTTATCGAATAGCACCAATTCTTCCAAAATTTCTGCGCATCGAACACCTTGCATAGATTTTAATCCACCTTCACAGATCCATAATTTTTTGAGTTTGGGGCAATATTTCAAAAAAGACAGTTCTTTAACTTGTTGTCCAATGAAAACCAATTCAACCAGATTCGTAAATAACTTTAAAATTTTTTCTGGTGGTAAGGGAGTAAAAAATAGGTTAAGTATTTCTTCTTCGTTTGAGTCACCATCGTGTATTTTATTTAATGCCCCTGTTTCTTTCGCAACATCGGGACTTAAGGAATCCATGATACATTTGGTAGAGCTAAAATAGATATTAAATTTAAATAGTGAATTAAATAAGTTCGAACGCTCTGCTAAATATACAGGAGTTTTTTTCATAATTAAGTATAGTTCAAAGCATTCGGTATTTAATGTCTCATTAAAAATATTATAACTTCTAGTTGATTAAACTTTTTTTTAACTATATTATTATTTTTCACTCAAATAACGGTAGGAAAGTATTTACTTTATTCTTCTGGTAATAATATCGTCGAAATAATAATTTCCATATGACTTCGTAATGCCGTAAAATTAGCAGCAAATCATATTGCGGCCTTTAAAGGTGATTGTTGACAGGAGAAAATAAACTTAGCATATGAAAAGAAAATTCCTCAAATTAAATGAATATAATGCTATAAATTGTAAGAATTACGGTATAATTTATATTTGAACGAGTTTTAATTTCCTATTAGTTGTAACTACGAACGAAGTTGCAATTTCAATAATATTTATTTATTTCAAATTGCAGGCCTTTTGATAGTTATCATTGACCCTTTAATTGACTTCAGGCTTCACAGAGAGGAATAGGAACTTCAAAGTGTCTAAAAGTCGGGAGGGAGGATAGAATAGTAATTCATAGATGTTAAAGGGACAGACAGGCACAAATCGGAGAAAAGGTAAGATGAGTACCATGTCGTGAACGAATATGACATTCAATGTGATCATGGTAGTTCGAAGTCAGAAGTCAACTGCAGGTTTATAGACTTTTTGCGTATGAGTGTGTGTTTTAAAGGGTATACCACGTGGAGGTTAGTCTATCGCACACCCCTTTTCCATTATAAAGAGTTATAAATAGTCGATTATAGAATTAAACTGCCTTTCCACACAATCTTTTTGTTGTATTATTTCACAATAAATCTAAAGTGCTTTTATGAAATTTCCTTATATTATGTAAGCCTCATATATATCAGAATTCCTTTCGAATCTCAATAACACTACATCTATTATACAATAAATTGGCCTTCCTTTTGCCGAAGTGTATGGCACGTGCTATTGTAACTTTTTACCGTTTAGCGATAATCATAAATAAGATTTACTCCAATGATACAAAGTTAAGAATGAGATTTCAGCAAAACTATATGATACCAGTTTTCGCATAATAGTAAGTAATCAAAGACTAGACATGTTATTCACAAACTCCAACAAATTGCATTTTAAGTCTAATTTGAACATATTTCAGAACTATTTCAATGAATTTCAATTTCTTAATTTAATCACTCAAAAAAAACATTAAAAACCATTATATCAAATCGTTTATTTTCCATAAAATATAAATTTTGTTGTTATTTACATTCATAAACATCTTCAAATAATATATTGATTATTTTAATTATTTAAAGCTCTTTTTCTGCTCCACGATATTGTAGTCTTCGTACATCAAATTAATAAATGTTCACTGAATAAGTGTGACGTTTCATAAAGGGAGTGCGATTAGATAAGTAATTTGAAATTAAATGCAAATTCAAACATGCTTTAATGCACAAGTGAATTTCCTACCATATCTGCTTTTCTGTTGACCTACGGACCTTACCTTGAAGTAAACCAAAATTTTCAAAATTGCAATTTACCACGATGAAGCTATTTAACAATTTCTTTTCCTAATACTAAAGCTCAACGATCGCATTTTTAGATTAATTGGTCACGTTATATTGTAATTCTTACTTTCGTTGAAGCTGAAATTTATGACAAAACGGTTTATTATTAAGTTAGAAGGCCTAGAAGTTCTCGCTGTTCACGACAACAATTTCTTTAAGCTTGTAAATATTTCCGAATTTGTAATCGGCTTTCCATCTCATTTTGAAATGTTACTTTGTGGATACTTATAGTAGCAGTTACTAGTGGCTCATTACCTTTACTCTCGCATGAGTCTGAAACTAAAAGTTCCTTTTAAGGGCAATGCATTCCTTTGCTATGGACTCAATGGAATGAAATTAGTCGTTTACTGTACATTCAAAAAGAATTTAAAACACTATAAGATATTACAGTTTAGTCTGTTGTAGCAGGAGGTGATAAATTTCAGATTTCAAACTTCCTCAAGATTTTATTCAAATCTACTTATTTATTTAAGTAGGAATGACAGTGAGAATTCATACTATACATTTGTAATTTGTATTAGTAACTTTGCAATTTTACCCTTTTCAATCCCTTATCTCTACTCCCTATAAACTAATTAATTTGACCAATGGTAGTGGTAAATACACAGTTTGGGCTGGTGAAGCTCTGTTTGCGCTCGAACACTTATAAATAGGGTGGAAAGTGAAGCATAAAATGATTTTACCGTTTCAATGGCAACAATAGAGCATTGTGATTTGAGTCATTTGAGCGATTTTTCTTTCATAAGAACTTGTACTTAAAGGCAAATGGGTTTTAACTGCTCTAGAAGACATTATTCAAGAAAAGTGCTCATAAATTAAGAAATAGACCAACATTAATTAATCTATTCTAGTCTGCTCCAGTTCATACCAAACGAGTAACCACATGAGATTTTGAAATTGGGAAATTCTAAGATGTTGACTAATGAGTTGATCTACTTCTCCACATTTTCATATTTTATGGGAAAACGAATTGCCAAAAGAGCTCGAAATAGATATTCACCCGATTTAGAAAGTCCTGTTGCCGAGTGAATAGCTGATGTTTATTTAAATCTCATGCTGCTCCTATTTTAAGTCTGAAAGTGTCACTGGCGCCTCGGTACATCAGTTATTGGCAACTGACTTGGAAGAAGACAATTTTTGATACTTTTGCCTCTCGGGTGGTTGCCTTACTCTCATCACCCTTTGCGGCGTGGGAGAGCCGAGTTTCAAAATTAAATTAGGCAGTAGAATGCATGTGATGACTTATTTCAGTACTTTATTATTTAACTTGTAGCGAACTATACACAAAGATTTATGGTAGGCATTGACAAGACCATGTCTTAACATCTTATGTCCATTACAACTGCTCTGATAATTAGACGAAATACGCTGAAGTTGTCACGTCTCATAGAAATGCTACTCAGCGATCAGACACTAATGAGCTAAATAATCTTTCTTTTAGAGGATATAACTTAGGTAAAATGTAAATCTCCCTTGACAAAAAATTGATTCTCCTTAGTCTTGAAAACATGAGTGGCGTCACCATATAATCCTTCGAGTATTATAAATTCGACTGAATGTTCTTTACGATCTCGAAAGAATTCCGAACGAACAATTTTCGCTTAAGGCTTGGCTACAACCTGATGGGGCGTAGACAAGACGCCTTAGCTATTAGGCTTTCAATGAAAATAAGCACCAATCGCAATACGTGAAATTTTTTATTTCAAGACGGAATCTTTCGCAGTAACCTTGCTATTTCCCTCACATTGTATACTCTCCTTATCTCTGGCTCTTTCCTGTTATGACTAGAACAAATACTAAGCAGGCAAAAGAATTCCCAAAATTGAAATCAACTCCAGAAATAATGAAAGAATCTATCGGAATTAATCGACGAGTGAATATGCGTATAGTTAAAATCTTTCGCTCAGATTTCTATGGTAAAAATAGTCGTCATTGCACTGGAAATGAAACTTTTAAAGGACTTGCCAGCACCATTCTTTTTTTGTGGCCCACATGGGAGGAACACGGGAGTCTCATCTCTCGTGCACTATCGATTATCGATTCAAGTAGATTTCGGCGTTCGCATCTTCACATGTAAGGCCATCAACAATGAACTCTTCGTTCTGAACAAATTGAGAATCGTCATTCGTGTTACAGGACTTCTACCATCTCCTTCAGGTTTGGGTTGTACCTTAGTTAAAGGGCCATGAAAATTCTTATCCTTCATAGTGGTATTACTTGCAGAAAGGAGCAAATGTACATTTTTGTCTGCGTGGAAAGGGGAATGTGAGTCAGGGAATTGAACAAAATTCCACACAATTAGATACTTGGGTTTAGAATGTAACATTTTCACTCCCTTGGTATAGTCTATTATACGATATTTTAAAGTCCGAACTTTCTGATTACATTCATTCATATTTGTCATATTCAAGGCTTATTAATTCATTTATTAATTAGAACATTTAGTCAAACATTTCAGTATTAACATCGTCGCGGCGATGTAGCACAGTCATAGGTCAATATCCTAAATACAAAGGAGACAACTTAACAAAAACTACACTTGTCAGTAATGCGAATGAATAGCCTTCAAATTTTAAGTTTATTTCTACTTTTTTTCTTATTTCGAAATGATTTTCCGAGGCGTTTAGATTTTTGTATTTGATACCACATGTTTCAACCAGATCAATTAATACAATTAATCAGCAGAAATCCTCACTAAGCCAATACCATGTAAACCATTGATACATGTATCCAATATTGTGACCTACTAACTTGTCAGCAGTAAGAGCCAAGTGCCCATACTTAATGTGAATACCATTCGATAACTGTAACAAAAATTTCTCTGTTAATTAAGAATTGGATCCTTCGGTTTGCGTGAGGCTCAAAGAGGGGAATGGAGGGGTGGAGGGGTGGAGGGTGGGGGGGTGAATATGTGCAACTGTTCAAATTGGTGCCAAATCTGTATGGTGTCCCATTGGTCTCTTCTGAAAATATAACTAATTTGCTGTGGACATACGCTCCGGTATTGCGTAACCTAAAATAGAGACTTGACAATCATAAGGAGGCGAAATTACTCATTCCATTTTTCTCAGCATTCATCTCAGTGGCTTTTGCAGAATAGCTTAGAGGCGATTGCACTGAGTTTATCGGCTAAGCTCCAGCCAAGCTATTTGTATTTAACTAAGGCTCGAATGAAGTCAGAATTTCCACATAGCTTTATCTGCTATTTAAGGATTTTTTGGACTGAAAACAAAGTGAATGTCACTTTCCAAGGGAGAGAGAGTGATTTATTTATTTATTTATATATTTAAATTTCCCTAATCTTACCCGGATCAAATTTGTCTGATTTCAATGCGATAATGGGGACTAAAAGAAGACTTGCTCTTCACATTG